ACTTTGAGTTTTAAGATTACCAGACCTGCCTTCTCATGGGTGGTATCTACCCTACCCGCTTCATTGGCTCCCCCCTGGATTAGAGTGTCGCCGCATAGGATTGGGCACCATCAACCTCCATCTAGAAGTGTATGGGCACCGCATAGTTGGGGCACTGAAAAGATGCTTTCCACGGAATTGATTGTCTGTGTTTCACTCTTATAGCATCTCTAACCATCCTCTTAGGTTTCGTTCTGCTCTCAAGGTTGACTGCAGACCGCTCTGCGGGCTCGAATGCCGACATCATAAGTCCTCACCAGTCTCTCCCCTGTGCTCCATCCGAAATAAAAATTCTCTTCACCTTTTTACCCCACAACTCATACAATATCAAATAGATTCCTCTCTTGTTACTGTCAAATGAAATCCAGAGTTCATGATTCCATCCCATGGAGTGCTTTGACCACGGGACTCCCCCTTTCTTCCTGTGGGAATCCTCGAGAGCGTCAAGAACCAAACCAACCTTGACCTTTTCAAAAGAAATCAAAATCCAAAATCCATGTCCATTCTAGATTATTCTCAACCCATCCATCCTCCTATCCTCGGCAACTAAGTCAAACAACTAATTGTCAATAATAAAGAACTTCTTTCCGTTCTGGGACATTGTTCCCCTCAAGGTGGTCAGCCACAGCATCCGACTGAAGGACGTCAAAGTGGAAAGCTTCATTTCTTCTCACACTCTCTCTTACTCTGTTACTCTCTCGCACACATACATATATAGCATTTATCTTTTCATATCTCTCCTATATATATATAGCTAGCAAATGCTTATCAACAATATATTATGTATATCTATATATATATACCATAAAAAGTATCTTATATTGTATAGAAATATCATAAATTTTTTATATTTTATATTATACGTGTAGATTTATATCTATTTCTAATATTTATAATTTATATATATAACATATTAATATAATTGATGTGGAACTCGGTATCAACACGTGCAATCCAAAAGTCCGCATATAATATGCAGAAACTTAAATTCCTAATAAATCTACCCTCCTTATTTAACCCACAATTAATAAGGTGAAGATGAACTAAGGTAATAGAGAATAGAGAATTTGGAATTGAAAAGATGTCACGAGCTTACCCTGACAAGTAGATCCAATTCCTAACTCAAATTGAATAACCTCCCCAAGAGCACTC